ATTGAAAACCCTGAGTAACACAGTCCTACTGTAACATGCATGGGATTGTTACAAGTCAGAGCTAGCCCATCCCAAGTGGAAATATACATAATGATCACCATTCCACTAGATACCAGACTCAGGCATTATCTTTCCAGATCATTGGATCGGGGTGGGGCTGGCGGGTTAACACAACCTGAGGGTAAAAATACATACATCAAGAAAGAACCAGTCTCTATGATAGTTCTTGACCTACCAGATTTTCAGGATGCAGTTGACTTGTGTTGCTTCCCACCATCAATTCTTCACTGAACATTTATTTGGCTCCCTACACTGACTCCCAGGCCACGAATTCACCAAGACGTTAGTAGCATAAGATGAAGGCATTCAGAGACCCTTTGCAATGTGGAGCCAAGTCCAATCTTCTCCCAGCAGAAGCTATGGCCAAAAACTCTTCAAAAGGCTGGAATCTTACTTCTTCAGCTTGAACCATCTCCTCTATCAAACTGACTATAGTCACTTCCAACGCTTTTCCTGGCACTCAACCTGAACTCTCATCAGTTGCTCCTGGTACTGGTCCAGCCAGAGTACTCAGACCCATTTTGAGTATCTTCCCTAGAAGCTCAGCTGGGTACTCAGAACCAGCCAGCATATGGAGGCCAACGTGGGGTGCAGGCATTAACAGGGCATAGACTGAGGGGGTACACTGTCTGTAAAGAATTTTAAAACAATAGTAAAATCTACTGAGAGTCAATCTGCCTTTTTTTTTTTTTTTTTTTTTTTGAACGGAGAAAAAGACAATCTGCTTTTTATTACTACCTTGCACAGCAATTCTAAAAAATGTTAGTGATACAATTACCCCTCCCTCCAAAAAAATACGTTGTTGCTCACAGTTCTAAACAATTGTATGGCTACTGATGAGTTATAGATATGTATGTTTCAAATTATGCATTTTTTATTTATCCACTAAATAAAAACTACCAGTTACACAGTTGAAGTTAGTCACACATATTCTTTCTGATAGTAAATATATAACAGTTTAAAATCTTTCGAGTTCACTTCCAGTGCATTTTGTGTCTCCAACTCCTGCGATACTACATTTTCCTGCTATTTAAACAGTAGATTTAAATAATCTGAGTTGTATTCAAATTTTATTTTCTAAGCTACTTTTTTTTAATGTGAACTTTCAGATGAGGTCAATCAAATGCAAAAATATCTGCAAAGAGCCAGAATAAACCTTGGAAAATACACAGTAAAACACCAACATTTAAAACTGCTTCGTGAATCTCAACCAACAGAAACTATAGAGCTCATAGGAAGAAGTGACCTGGAGAAATCTTTTTTTATAACAGACCAGTGTTGTTGCCCAGGTGGGCTACCAAAGACTAGAACATAATGAAGTGGAACAGCTAAGGTGTATTCAAGAAAGAGAACTTGCAGGGAAGACATGCCACAGACAGCAGAATCTCTCTAAGCTTACAGCTTTTGGAGGTTTTATAGAGCTAAAGACAGGGTTACATGCAGGGGTAGTCTCAAGCAGGTTCCTGGAATTGTTGACAACATCTTGTGGTTTGTTTTCTGGCTCCTCATTTCTCTGATTGGATGCTCATTTCTCACATATGTGTACCACATCCAAGACCCTGCTTCGAACCCAGGTCTGGCTCTGAATAGCCATACTGAGGTCAACAATCCGACCAAATAAATTGTAACTGTGCCTGCCCCATGTGCTAGGGTAGAGCTTATGGTTTGTGGGTTTCTGCATCTGTCAAGCTTTGCAAGCTCAAAGAGGCATAGCAATTCATGCTATTAACTAAAAAATATGTGTTTTGCTAAGTTTAATTTCCTGCCCCACCTGTGCTTTGCAAGTTCTGTGCTTTTGCAAGAGAATTGTCTGTTCAGTCTTTATTCTTTCTTCCTTCTGGTTGGAACTTCCTGTAACAGTGTGGTATTGTAAGATAAGCACTGGATTGCAAACCACAAGATCTGCAGTTCAAACCCACCAGCTGCTCCTAGGAGGGTCACTATGAGTCAGAACTGACTGGACAGCACTAAACAACAACAAAAGTAGTGCAAGGTTACAGAGAAAGGAATGTACCATGCAGAGATACAATTAATACAATATTTTAGTGAGATAAACGTTAGCTGATAAGCAATGTGCTTTATGTGAAAGAACTTTTTCAAAATTAAAATTTATGAAAAGTGTTCTTTGGTCACTTATGAATGAAGAGAATGAAAATTCTAATTATTATACAAGAATACTCATTTGTGAAGAGTAAGGTCATTGACAAATTTGCAAACTATGACAAATTGCTTCTTTGGAACAAGAATGGCAAGACTTCAATTTGCTTACTTTGGTTACATCATTGTAGTTTGTTGTTGTTTAGTGCCATCAAGTCAGTTGTGACTCAGAGAGACCTTGTACAGGGTCTCCATGGAATGGCTGGTGGGTTTGAACTGGCAATCTTGAGGTTAGCAGCCCAGTGCTGATCCTACAGTGCCACTCCATGACTCCATCTAAGAGGTTCAGTTATGATTGCCATCTCTCCAGTTTAAACACCTAACAAGTGGGGATGGGTACAGTCTTACCAAAACCTATTTTCACCTCTCCCCCAGTCTCATTGTGTTGTTGTTGTTGTTGTCAGGTGCCATCGAGTTGGAACCGACTCATAGCGACCCCATGCACAGCAGAACGAAACAATGTCCGATCCTGGGCCAACCTCACTACCACTGCCACACTTGAGTCCATCAATGATGCCACCTGGCTGATCCATCTCGTTGGGGGTCTTCCTCTTTTTCTCTGACCCTCCATCTTACCAAGCACGACATCCTTCTCCAGCAACTGTTCCCTCCTGACAACATGTCCAAAGTATGAGAGACGAAGTTTAGCCATCTTGGCCTCCAAGGAGCACTCTGGCTGCACTTCTTCCAAAACAGATCTATTGGTTCTTTTGGCAGTCCATGGCACTTTTAGTATTCTCCTCCAACACCACAATTCAAAGGCATCAATTCTTCTACGATCTTCCTTATTCACTGTCCAGCTTTCGCATCCATATGAGGTTATTGAAAACACCATGGCTTGGGTCAGAAGCACCTTAGTCCTCAAGCTGACATCTCTGCTCTTCAACACTTTAAAAAGTTCCTGTGCAGCAGATTTGCCCAATGCAATACGTTGTCTGATCTCTTGACTGCTGCTTCCATGAACGTTGATAGTTGATCCAAGAAGAATGAAGTCCTTGACAACTTCAATGTTTTCTCTGTTGATAAGAATGTTGTTTATTGGCAACTGGGAAAATAAATGCCTCCTCAAAGTAGAGTTGACCATGATGATGTGACTAGAGTCTTATTGTAGGTCAGTGTTTTTTGTGGAGGGCTCTGAACAACACTTCAGGGTGACATGTCACATGGTTCTCCATATCAGTCTCCCAATAGCAGGGAAAAGGGTCTGCACCCTGGTCTCTCAGCATCTCCCAAGGAGCAGAGAAACCGTCTACAGGCAGTAGGATGAATCACATCCAAATGGGAGGAGACCAGAGGAGTTTGGTTCAAGGAGAAAAGAAATGAAAGAAACAAGATTTTGTTTCCATAGCAACAACTCTGTTGGTAAGTGTCTCTGGGTGAAATCCAGGTGTTTGCCCAGATGTGGGAGCGCTTGCCTGCAGGGCTGCCCCCCTGCCTGGCTCTCAGCAGCATTCACATGTCTGCTTCACCACACCCTTCTTCCAAATCACACCCACCTGGTCTCTTCAGCTTTTCTGCTAGCTTCTTACCGCTCTGTGGTTTTTTTCTCTCCATCTACTCCTTACACTGGTAGTCTTCAATGCTCAATTCTGGGTCTTCTTCTCTCTTCACTCCACAATCTCCCCCTTGGTCATCTCACCTGCTCCCATCACCCATCTCCAGTACAGGGCTCTCCTCTGGGCTCCAGGCCTCAAGCCAGCTGTCCCCCAAGGAATGTCTGTGAAGATCTTGGTGCTGCGCAGACCCCTTGCCCCACGATTTCCCACTGCCAATTTCTGCAGGGTTTTTGCCCATGAGCTTTCTTTGGCCACCAAAACCCATTCTATCAGCTTGGACCATCAGGGCAAAGTGCTAGGAAATTAAAACATCCCCCACTCCCAGGAGCATCCCTCAAATATGACAGACAGGAGGTTAGTGTATTAACACCCCAGCACCTCACCCCTCAGGTAGGATTACTTTGAGGTGCCGGCTCTGCACATCACTAGAACCGGCTTATCATGTGAGGTAAGGAAAAGCCATCAGTGACAAGGAGGAAACCCCTCAACGAGCTGGGCTGACATAATAGCAGCAACAATGGATTCAAATACACCAGAGAGCAGGAAGATGGCGCAAAACTGGGTCACGTTTCTTTGTAATGGCGACTAACAAGGTTCAAAAACAGAATCTATACGAAGAGGTTCAAAAAGCTCTCGTGAAAATTATTCATTATCTTTTAATTCCATTTTTCCACGCACTTTTTCAAATCCCCTCAGAAAATTCTCGCTATCTACGTCTCTTTTCTAGGCGCCATGATCATTTGTTTCTGTAAAAATTTGTTAGGTAATGATGCGCTCGGGCTGTCAAACACGCTAGTTAGCCACTGTTCAGCAGGGCATCGGTTTACAGCGCCCGAAGACTCTCCAGGCGCCTTTCCCTCTCGGACACTTTCCCAGCACGCTCCGCAGAGTTGCTCCCCAGCGCCGTAAATACCGCTAGAGCTAACGCAGCACCCGAGAAACCGACAGCGCGTTTATCCCACACTAGGGGGCGCCTCATCCCTCCGCCCCAGTACAAAGCACTTGCGACGCCAGAGGCCGGCCTAACTCGCCATCTCTGGAAAGGTCAACACCCCTTCGCCGCCCTCCCTCAAGTTGCCAACGAGGCAGACTCTGAAGATCATGCGCAAACACGTCCATCACGCACTTGACTACAGCGCATGCGTTCTCTGAAGTTCTACTCTCCGCCCCATCTTCTCTCTGGAGTTTCCGGTTCCGGCTTTAAAGAGGCGGGGAAAGGCTGGGAAAATGCGACTGTCTGTCGCCGCTGCTGTCTCTCACGGCCGCGTGTTTCGCCGCCTGGGTCTTGGACCCGAGTCCCGAATTCACCTGTTGCGGAACTTGCTTACGGGACTAGTGCGACATGAGCGCATCGAGGCGTCATGGGCGCGCGTGGACGAGATGCGAGGCTACGCCGAGAAGGTAAGGGGCGGGGCCACACGAGGTGGGTGCCGACGGGGATTTATAGCCTGATCGGGTCGCAGCCGGTTGGCTTTCCGGAGGGAGTAGGACCGACTGTTACCTCTGCCCAGTCTGAATCTCCTAGTACTCTGAGCTGAACCACTGTTTCGGCGGCTCATTAAATGGAAGATTGAGCTGCAGAGTTAAGGGTGGGCTGAATTAGATGTTTTGCTAGTGGAATGAATGGATTGTTGTTACGTGCCTTGGAGTCGGTTCCGACTCTAGCGACCCTGTACGGGAACAGAAAGCCTCGTCTTTCTCCCGCGGAACAGCTGTCTGTCCCTGAGGTTCGCATCCCGATTCGTAACCACCACGCTACCAGAGCTCCTTGAATGGATTGTAGCCAGGCATTATCGTTAAATTCCGTCGAGTTGGTTCCGACTTAGCCACCTTGTATAGGGTTTCCGAGAAGCGACTGGTGAATTTGAGCTGCCAACTTTGTGGCTCAACTTGACCTTGCTGTCCAGGACAGCGCATTATCCCACAGCGCCACACCAGGACTCCGGTCGGGCATTAGAGGAATATTAAGCTGGCATCTCATTTTTTTTTTGCAGCTTATTGACTATGGAAAGCTGGGAGACACCAACGAGCGAGCTATGCGCATGGCTGACTTCTGGCTCACTGTGAGTTTATCATATGTGCCTCCCAAATTGCACCCTTTGCTTCCTTGGTGGGGAAGGGAGAAATTTGTTAGGTAGAGAAGGGTCACCATGGCAGGTCATGTGAACTGAACTGGAAATGTCTTACGTAATTCAATTCAAATGTTCATCTTAATCTCAGTTACTGCCTGTGACTGATCCTCTATGTAACTTTATGTGTGTTTGAATCCCACTTTGACGGCGGCTGAAAGTTACCCGCCTCTGCAATGATACCTGACTACTCATTCCTTGATAACTCTCCCATTCCAGGAAAAAGACTTGATCCCAAAGCTGTTTAAAGTGCTGGCCCCTCGCTACCAAGGTCAGAATGGGGGCTACACGAGAATGCTGCAGATCCCAAATCGGAGTGAGCAGGATCGGGCCAAGATGGCTGTGATTGAGTATAAAGGAAACTGCCTCCCACCTTTGCCGCTGCCTCGAAGAGACAGCAACCTCACACTCCTAAACCAGCTACTGCAGGGGCTGCGGCAAGATCTCAGCCAGGATGGGAAAGCCAGCATCTGCAGCTCCCACACAGCTAAAACACCAGGAATTTAACTGTTGCTGAAAGCTCTATGGGCCCACATCAGTGCCCGTGTCCTCCTGCCTTTGGAGCTCTTGTCGTCTCTGAACAGAACTGGAGCTAGAGTTGGAAAGTGGACAGTCTTAACTGGGGCCCAGAATCTTCTGAAGAGCCAGATGGCCCTATTTTTGCACAGTTAGATAAAATATTTCATATGAATATATGTAAATTGATTTCTTTTTATTTCTCCTGGCGTTTTTGGTGAATGTTTGTTGTTAGTAAGTGCGTCAAGTCGGTTCCAACTTGTAGTGACTCTGTATAGGGTTTCCGAGGTGCTGCTTGTGAACTTGAACCATTGACCTTATGGTTCAAACCAAGCTCACAGTCCAGTGCATTAACCCACAGTGCCACACTATCCAAATTCTTGGTCTGCCTAGAATAGAAAATCCACAGCTCATATTTTTGGTTCTTAGTCTCAAGTTGTGTTTGGTTAGCAGTTTTGTTTTGTTTTTAATACTAGATGGGGGTGTGTATCCTAGCATTCCAAACTGGCCGCCACAAAGGTGATTGAGTTTTGACGTGTAGCATAGAAATGAGTCCCTGGGACTTCTTTGAGGAAAGATTACTTCCTAACTGCCACAGGGGAGTGAACATCTGCAAGAAAACCTCTAACAGTCCTGTTCTCTAGGAAACTTGAGGGGACACTGCAACCATTTCTGTGTTTCTTACAAGGATCATACATTACCCTCATGTCCTCTCCTCAGGCATCGACCTTGCAGGTGAAGATTTGAAAATGTAACACCCCACCCAACAAAGGGGTGGAGGCATTCAACAGAGGTTGCTGGGCTCCAGGATGAGCTCCCTCCTCTTAGAGGGAAGGAGGGGGTTGAAGTGGAAGGAAGATTAGGAAATTAAACTGGCTGGGAATTTCCTGGAAGTTTTTATTGTTAAATCTGGGCCTGACTGGGAACTCAGAAAAGGGAAATCCGGCTTCAGAATGTGAGAAGCAGAGAATAATGTGAAGCCAGGCTTGACCAGCTAAACTGCCCTGTTGTCAAACTTAAGAGACTTGACTTGGTTGATAGTTATGGGAAGACTTGAAGAGGGGTTATCAACTTGCCTGACAGTTGCTATATCCTTAATGTATTAGGAAAAAGAGTGTATTAGACTGAAACTTCAGAGTGTATTTTGACTGCCCACTGAACTTTTCCATTGTCTGAGATAATAAATAAAGGGTGGGGGTAAGGGGATCACTGGTCTTAGAGGTTACCATGACTGACATGTTCTGTGCCATTTCACTGCAGGCCCTATAACCTGACATCTACTTGTTCCTCTATTTCATGTTACTCCCTGAAAGCTTTCTGACATACTTTGAGTGACATGTAGGAGACACTCAGAACATTTGTTGAATAAATATACAATTCTGTTAATGTTGTTATGTACCGTGGAGTCAGAAGGGTTTCCAATGCTGTAAATCTTTACAGGGGCATATCTCATCTTTCTCCCACGGAGCAGCTGGTAGTTTCAAACTGCTGACCTTGAGGTTGGCAACCCTACTCGTAACCACTACGCTGCCAGAGCTCCATAAAATTCTGTTAATCAGAAATTTTATTTAAAAGTTTTCCCCTCAGCTGGTAGATGTGTCCTCAAGTCCATCTAGGACCTCAATGAATTCCAAACCCAAGAGAGGGACCCAGGCTGTAGTGGGAATACCTCTTTTCAAAAGTTGTCTTTTCTTAGGCTCCAATTCTTTCCAGCAAAATTGACAAGTAATGCTTATTTCCTTCTCAAAAGATAAACTTTTGCCTTTGCATCTCAACAACATATAAGCCCAGTTACAGGAGACACAACTAGAGAAACCAGAGACTATGAATTTACCTTCCACAATGAACCAAGTTGAGTTAATTTCGTTTCTGTAATGTTTTTCTCAAGAATCCACAGTTAACACTACAGCCTGACATCTAGTAAGGACACCTCTGCCCTGATTACTGCAACAGTAATCCCCTGACTTGACTCCCTCCATACTACAGCCATAGTGTTAGAAATCTAATCATTTCAATTCCCTGTGTGAAGGTCTCCGATGATGTCATTTCTTGCAAGGCAAAGTCCATCATCCTCGTCATTTCTTGCAAGGCAAAGTCCATCATCCTCACTAACTATTAGGCATCTGTCTGCTCACTTCCCTTGCCTCAGGGCTCAAAAGCATTGCAGTCCTTGTTCTGGATGCTTTTCTGTATTATAGTTCCCCTTACCACCTTTTATTCATCCCTACCACCAAAAAGCTCCCCTTTTAGCTCCTAGGTGACTTCTCTATCCCCCACCTAAATTTATTACTCTGTCACCATAGATGCCTTTTTAATGCTTCCATATTACATTGAATTTACTGCATTGCATTGCAGGTCCCTACAGTGGGTGGGTTCCCAAACATCCACTCCAGACTAAAGCAGTCATAGTATTTCCATCCCCTTATTACTGAAGGGTTTAAGAATAGATAGGCCAACAGCAAGGATCATTCCCACTCCCTCCACACACACACAGTAGACAGCGATGGGCAACTTGGACATTGGCGAGGCTACAAAGGCAAGAAGTGACTCGCTTACAAGCTTTCAAGAGGGAACCTAGATCCAGAGGGCCTGGAGGAAGGTAGAATCTCCACTGAGTTGTATCCAATCTGTCTAGGCGGGGCTGATGAAAGGAAATGTGGATCCGTCTCTTGTGATATAATAGTGAATAGGACTAATTGTGAGGGTTGAAAATGTAAAGGTAGACATTTTATAGCAAGGAGGGGAGTGATTAACATGTCAGTCTAGGAGCGGAGGTCCCTGGGACCATCAATGGAGAAGAGCGGAGAGCGGGACCCTATCCAGTGAAGAAGTGACGCCAGAGACAGAGGCAGAGATGATGACTTGAAGAGATGGAGCAGCTGGGGACTTTAGATCCTGAGAGGGAGAGGGGCTGTGTGCTGACGACCGGGGTGCAGGCTTGTAGTGTATACTGTTTGGTTGGTTGATGAGGCATAGAGGGGATTGTAACCATGGCAATGAAATGATATACAATAGAATGAATGTAAAACTAATGTTCTTCCATGTGAACTCTCACATAATTTACAATAAAACATTAAAAAAAAAAAAAAGATAGGCCAAAACTAATTTGGGCTAGTAAGAATCAGGCATAAGAGTTGTTAAGCACCAGCGAGTCAGTTCTGACCCATAGCCACCTTGCAACTGAAACTGACCTTGTGGTTCAGCGCATTATCCTGCAGTAATTCTTAGTGCCCCTGGAAACTAGCAAGGCTAAAGCTGATAATGAAAACAGCAAAACTGAGTCTTTGACAATATTGTCAAAGTATAGTACCTAACGCTCCCAAATGTTGGGATATATGATATATATATATATATATTTTTTTTTTTTTTTTAGTGATTATCCCCTTTTAAGCCTGGGTTTTCTGTTAATTTCCACCAAAAATAATTGATGCCTTTGAGCCTAGCTTCTGAAATCTATGAACTATCAAAAATCTCTAAAATCTATCAAAATCTATGATATCTATCAAAAAACATTTTATACCAGAACAATGTTTATCCACAGATACTTGAAACAAAAACTTCACAGACCAGTGTTTACTTTTGCAAATGTGTTGCACTTTTTTTAAACTTTAGTTTCTAGTTCACTTTTTTAAAATGCTGTTCCCAATTCATTAACCTAATTTGACGATCCATTAACAGGTCTCAACATGCTCTTTGAAAAACACTGGTTTCAAACAGCGTTTTCAGTGGCTTACCATTGCCCTCACTGAATATAATTGAGACTTCTTAGTATAATCTGTTCCCAGCCACTTTCTCAGTCCCTTAACCTTCTACTGTCTACTTCCTTCACAGAAAACTACTGTTTGTTTTCTGGAGTATCTTTGTGCATGATCCTCTACTATAATGATCTCTCTTTCCTCAGCTCAAAAGTTTTTGAGGCCTTTCCCAAATTTCTCCTTGCCATCCAATCTGGGTTCGATATCCTCCTGTGTACTCTTCTGTACCCTCTATGCATACACCTATCCAAACATTTACCACACTATCCCTAGCCAGTCCTCGGAAACTGTGCAGAGCCACTATGAGTCAGAACTGACTTGACAGCACTTAACAACATATGACAATTGCCTCTATTAAATGATCCCTTTACTCAACTGAGCTCCTGAAGCCAGGGACTGGAACTCATTCTTGGTAACTATTCCTAACATGTTGTTGTTTGTTGTTGTTATGTGCTGTGGAGTCAGTTCCGACTCATAGCGACCCTGTACAGGGTTTCCGGGGCTGTAAGTCTTTACTGGAGCAGAACACCTCATCTTTCTCCAGCGGAACAGCTGGTAGTTTCGAACTGGTGACCTTGCGGTTCACAGCCCGATTTGTAACCACTATGCTACCAGAACTCCTATTCCTAGCATAGGGCCTGATATATAATGGGTTGTTGATACATGCTTATTAAATGAGGGGCAAGCTTCATGCTAATGCCATACTGAACTCTAACTGGGCTTTACAAGGTAATAAACATGGTACTATGTGCAGGGACAGTGTTATGCTGCTCTGCTAAATATGTATACCTAAGTGAAAGAAGGACTTCTTTCTCTCCAGGGATTTACATGCTAATAATGATTGTTAGAAGTCCTGGTGTGGCGCTGTAGGATAAGCACTGGACCACAAGAGAACCCTAAACAGGGTCTCTATGAATCAGAACCAACTCAATGGCACTTAACAACAGCAATAGTGATTGTCCAGAATGTAAGAATATCAATGCATTTCCCACATATTTCATAATTCTGATTTCCTGGAGTATTTTTAATCAACCTACAAATGGAAAGGAGTTCTGGTGTGGCTCTGTAGGATAAGCACTTGACTGCTAATTGAAAGATCAGTTGGAACCAACTCAGTGACACTTAACAACACAGATAGAAAACACACATTTCCCAAGACAGAAGTTGGAATGCTGCTGCTTTTATGAAGTATTCATTGGATTCCCAAGACAAGGCTAGGAACTTTTCCAGTAGTCT